TGCATTGAAAATAGTGTGATTAAATACAATCACTCTGTTTTAATTGCAACCTGCTTAGCACCTCAGATCAAATACCCCAATTAAAATTCTTATTAAATTTATGGTGCCTACCTCGGGTGCATTGAATGCTCAATTCTGTTTCACAGAATTTGGAAGAAATAAAATTAAAAGATGTGAAACTGTGAGAGATCAATTTTCATAGCTGTGAATGACTACATAACATTTTAAACAAACTATTAAATTCTACATTAAAAACATTAAAAGCTGCTGTTAATAGCTCTATTTTCTAATTCAGTATGAAATTTAATTATATTCAATTCCACAATTAAGCAACAAAGCTGTTGTAGATATCATTGTCAAATTTACTTTAAGTAGTGTATTCCATAAGTGGCTTAATTAAGTTATATTAATAATTTGTATTTTGGGTCTGACAGGCTGTAGGACATCCCTGTTCATAAATACTGTGGCCCTTTCTCTAACATGGCTCCCAATATTAATGGTTGAATGGATTATTTATTATGTTTTGTGAAGCCAGAGTAACTAAGCAAATTCAGGCCTGGTCTATACTAAGCGGTTAGGGCAACAGAAGCTGTCTTGTCTCAATCTAGCTGTGGCAGTGTCTTCACTTACATTTGGCTCTTACTGACGTAAGTGCTTCTCTAAGCCTACTGTAACACCACCTCTCTGAGCAGCCTAGAGTCAGTCGATCTAATTAGGTCAACACACTGTCAGTGTACACACTGTTGATTATGTTGACTGTTACTTGCCTTCAGAAGCCATCCCACAATGCCACACTCTGATAATACAAGTGCTCCTGGTGCAGACACACCACTTTCACAAGGAGCTAAGTGTGCATACTCACAAGCAATTTAATAACTGCAGGGGCTGTCTGCCAATGTAAGTTAGGTCGATGTAATTTTGTAGTGTAGATGTCCTCAGTTACAGACCTGATCCCCCTGGTGTGCAGACAGGCTTCCTCATTTGTTGTCCTGTGTCACTGAAAGGAACTGATGGTTCTGTTCTGATACACCATATTCCTTTTATCCTTCAAAAGAGCTCCCAAGCAGCAGAGGAAGATTCCTCGTGGAGAAAACCAGGAGGAAGAGTTGAAAGTGCTTTTCCACTGTCTCTTTCCTGCAACTTTTCTGCTCTCTGTCCCTTCTGTTTTTTCTTGCAAAGAGTCAGTGCTGCCAGGCGTAAGCAGGGGTGGGAGTAGCTATAAACAAGGCAATGATACTCTGCTTCTGTAGTCTTCCGGGGTCTAGCTAGGCGATGACTAATCATCCCGGGATGTCCATTAATGGAATGCTTAGAAAAGGACTAATATTTAGAATGTTACCAAGGATACCATGCTGAGGTAGCAACCATCCATAGCGTAGCACAACAAGACAAATTCAGCCTCGCTTGGTGCAGAACTCCAAGGGGGAGGGCGGGCCTCCTGCCCTCAGCAAGCTGCTCATCTGCCCTCCATCGTCTCCAGATACCCGTTCTCCCCCCGTCTCCAAGGGACAAGAAAAGACTATATGCCACTGTCTCAGATAAGGAAACACCTGAGGAGAGCAAAATGGAGAATAATACTAATTTTGTACCTCCAAGGTGAGTTGTGAGGTTTAATGAATGTATTTACTGTGCTTTGGGTAAATATTGTTAATGTCCCAAATGGGCCTGAATGAATCTCAAAAGGAAAGGTCAGAGCCAGCAGGCTGGGAGCAGTATTATCACTACAATGGGGCTTTTTATGCCCCCTGAGAACGCTAAATTTAAAGGCTTGCTAGAGGGAGGTTAGTAGGAAAATAACTGTAAGGACCTGAGGCCTTTTGGAGTACATAGAATGTAGGGTTTGATTTCTTTAGAAAACACATAGCACATTGAGCGCCAGGTACAGTAGTTGAGTTCAGCGCTCAAGCGACTTTGACATCAGTGCTAAGCAGAGGATGAGCAGGGCAGCTGAGGCCTGGCTTGAGTGGGAGTGTTCACAAGCACTCATGAGTGGCTTCCAGGTAGGGCTGCCAAGTTTGGTTGGTGGTATGTCTGGAGATTTCAGTACATGACAATCTTTAATTAAAGATTCATCTTTAATTCCTGATGACTCCAGGACAATCCTGGAAGGTTGGCAACCCTACTTCCTGGGCATTCTTGGGTTGTTTCCGCCTCCCTTTCTTATTCACTTTATAGCAATACTTAGCACTTATATAGGGTTTTACATTTTGACGGGCTGTACAGACATTAGCTTAACATGCTGACTTGCTAAATTGCCTGTTAGCAACCCGTGCAATTCACACCTCTGAATCCTGGCATCAACATGACTTGCTCAACTGCAGGAGCTACCAACTGGAGCTGAAGTTTTACAGGCAAGGCTAACACCAGCCCATAAAACCAGTTTTTCCAAACCTTCGCCTTAATATTCACAATCAGAGGCCAGATCATTTTTTTTTATCAAAAATGTATTGCTCAAATCATTATTTGAGTTTTAGAAAAAAAAACCTCAGACACTTTTTTCTAGTTCAAACTTTTTTCCCCCTCTAAGTTTCAAAGTCCAGTGCTAAAATAGGCATCATTAAACTAGGGGGTAGATTTCAAAGGCACAAATGCCATTTATGTGTCTAACTGCCACTTAAAGTCAAGGGGAGTTGGGTGCCGTTTTTGTTTTTGAAACCTATTCGCAGAGCCTTACGTGCAAGTTATTAGCATTGTAGGATCCAGTGCTACAATTGGATATTCGCAGACACCATTCCCCCACGTCTGCTTGGCTTTCATTGGTGCTTGGAACAGCCATAGAAGGCTACTTTCATGGCTCCAATAACAAGGTCAGGGCAACAGTTTGTAAGTTATGCACACCTGCTGTGGTTGAGCCATGCTTACATGGTGACTCCATTTGGGAAATACTCCCACCACCTCAGCTAGCTGACAAGTAACAGTTTGGACCATTAAACATTTAGATGTGAAAGACAAAACTCTTAAGAAACACTGGAAGGTATTGATAAAATAATCTATTATCAGGTATAGCATAGTTACATGTGTTTATCGTTTAGCAATAAGCTGGATACATTTAAGTAGGCCTCAAAATGCCATTGCCCATGCTGTGGGTAACAGATGAAATTGGATTACAGCTGCAGTAATTTGGCAACTTTCTCAAAAACTAAATTCTCAGCCAACATGAACAAAAAACAAATTCTATGAGAGAGTGTATCTAGCAACATAATAGTGGTGACTGTTAGACCTGGAGTTAAGGTTGCGTTTCATGGGGGAAGCGCTAAAATAAGCTTGTCTTTATGGCAAGGACTTCAAATTTACAATAACCGGCAGGATTTCCTTTGAATGTGTCACAGTAAATGTGGTGATCATTGTTATTGCACGTGCACGCCTGCTGTTGGAGGAATGCTTGTTCTTTCCTCTTATAGCAGCCCCCAATGGTTAGCGTGATGCAGAGCTTGTCCATATAATTTGCAGTATACACCAGTTATCCAAATTAACCTATATGCAAAAGACTGTAGCACAGGAACTGCCAAGCAGGAATGCACTCATGAGCCATCTAATCTGGAATTCTTCTCTGCCAGTGCTAATTAGCTACAACAAGATGACTCCCGCTCTAGATGCCTAAATCCAACATTTAGGCACCACTAGCATGCCTACATACCTGCTACCAAATTCTGGCGGTGCCTAAAAGTCCCTTATACCTACGTTTCTGCCACTGGGCATATGCACTATGGCCTCACGCAGCCCCAACAGGATTCTTATATGAGTGTGATCTGGTAGGAAAAGGCAACACGTAACTGTTGATAGTGTGGGAGGGGCACAATTTAAAGGGGGGGAGCACATGAACACCCCATCTCTGCTGCCCACCCATCGGCCCTCCTTGCTGCCTCTTCCCCTAGTGCCACCTCATGCTGTCGCCTCCCCACTTTGCCCCTTCACACACACCCCTCACCCAGCCCCACTCCCAGCGGTTTTTCCCCTCACTTAGGCTACTTCTAACTGACAGTTGTGGGTGGTTGTTTTTTAGCAGCTGTGGGTTGTGGCTGTGGGCTATTTTGCTGCCCTGCTGCTCAGGATTGCGACCAGGAAGAGCTTGAGTCCTGCAAGTACCAAAGCCACCTGGAGCAGTGGGGGCACAGTGGAGCCTCTCCCCCACCTCAGAAAAGCACTGCATGGTTTTGTGGAGAGCGAGAGACGACATGTCCAGCCCAGATCTGCCCCCTATTTGCAGGCTCCGTGGCAGCACCCCAGGCAGGGGTTTACAGCCCTCTTCACCTCTCTGCCGGCCCGCTCGGCTTGAGCATACGCGCCGACTCCGTGGGTGCTCCAGCCCTGGAGCACCCATGGAAAAAAATTAGTGGGCGCTTAGCACCCACCGGCAGCCAGCTCCCCGCCACTTTCCTCCCAGCACCTACCGCTCACCGCAATCAGCGGTTTCGCAGCGTGCAGGAGGGGGTGGAACTGAGCGGAATGAGGCGGGGCGGGGTGGGGACTTGGGAGAAGGAGTGGGGTGTGGGGGGTTGAGCACCCCCTGGGGCCTGGCGGAAGCTGATGCCCATTGGTCCTGGCCTGAGGGAGCACAGAGCTGCTCCATCCCCCAGGCTTTGTGCCTGGAGCCATGTGAGGTGCTGCGCCTCCTGCAGGGTGGGGATGCCCTTTTGCTTGGCTCTGCAGCTGCTGAAGCTCTGGCAGCCGGGTCGCTGATGCACAATGCCTCCTTAAGGCTTAACCCCTTCCTGGCCACGCTGCATGAGGCGGCTGGGCTATCTCCATGGCCAGCAGCAACCTGGAGGTGGTAGCTGACTTCAGTACTGTGAGGAATGGGAAGGGACAGGAGCTGCTTCCGGCTGCAGCAGGGAGGAGCGGGGAAGGGATGACCTCTGCCAAGACACAGGCCAGGGGCAACTCCGGGGCAAGGCACAAAACAGCCTGGGGCAGAATAGTTTCCCCTTATAACTTCTTGGCCCGGTGGTTAAGGCACTTAAGTGGGATGGGGGCTCCTTCCAGTGCAGTTCTCCCTTTGCCTAGTGTGAAGGGATTTGACGTTGGGTCACATGAATACAATGTCATTCTCACTTACGCTCCAGCCCAATTAATTATTTGTACACCAACAGTACCAGAAACCCACCTCAGAATAGGCCAGTGGTTTGGCACTCATTGGAACAGTGAGAAACCTATGTTCAAAGCCCTTCTTACATCAGGCAGAGGGCAGATTTAAACCAGGATTGCCCATTATCTGTGTGTAAATCACCGTCAATGGCCTATTAGCAATCACCGCATCCATCCAGTTCCCCTTTAATAATCTCTGTGTCACGTGACAATCCATACGGATCTGTAATCAAGTTTCAAGTTGGTTCTTTAATCGCAAATAAACTGGCCCTCGTTGCTCGTGACTGTACCATGGGGGCTGAGCCACCCCGAGGTGGTTAGTCCCGCTACAGTCCATATAACATTTAGGGTGCCCCAATGCATACATTAGCCTTCCATTGCCCATTTCAAAATAGCTCATCTTATTGCTGTAGCTCTTTGTAACAAAAGGCACAAGAGTGAAAACTTGCTGCTCTTTTTGCCTTATCACTAACATGTGAAGGATGCAGCGAAAGTCATGAAGTCACACGAGCCCCGTGTGTATAAATAGCACTCACTGAAGTACCTTGCTTTGTCTGTTTGCAGTGACAAACAGGCCACTCATAATAGATTCAAAACAACCCAGCAATTGCTCCACCCTCCAGATTAGATTTAGAGATGAGGGTGAGCGCAGCAAAGCAAACATTTAAGTAAAATTTACACTCCAGGCCAATCCTTTCCTTCTGCCAGCAGGCGGTGAGTGCGCGGCGCCTGCTGCCGGTTTCCATGTATAGGTAAGGAAAGGAAGACTGTCAACAAGTAAGCATTTTTATGCAAACTTTTCAGGGACACTAAGCCCGTCTTTTTAGCAGCCTAGCTATAACAAGCTTTTATATGGGCATGTGTGTTATTAAGCGCTTTATAGACCGTGAGTGGCATGAAACTTTTGGATAAATGTGCTTTATTTTCCTGACCCCAGGAACATTGCCCCAGGAGAGAGAGAGAGGAGGGGGTGTGTGTGTGTGTGTGTGTGTGTGTGTGTGTGTGTGTGTGTGTGTGTGTGTGTGTGTGTGTGTGTGTGTGTGTGTGTGTGTGTGTGTGTGTGTGTGTGTGTGTGTGTGTGTGTGTGTGTGTGTGTGTGTGTGTGTGTGCGCGCGCTTATTGCTGCCCTCCTGTAGCAACTGAAGTATTCCATATTAAAACACAAAAGAGCTTGCTTCATGTTTGCCTTGAGCAGTTTTTAACGCACTGCGATTGAAGGAGTAAATGAGAAAGTTGAATGAGAGTGAGATGGAAGCGTGAAAAAGGAGTCCCTGTGAGGTTTGGAGCAGGTCTGATTTGCAGGGCTTACTCCTGTAGTACTTTACCAACTATATCCCTCTCCCTCCCCCGTCCCGGCCTCCCTACTCTGCTCGCCACTTCAAGCTGTTACTGTCTAGTTTAGGGTTTTCTGTAGCCCGTCATTGAGGCAGCCAAACATTTTGCTGTAGCATTTCAGTTCACACACATGCACTAGGGTAGGCAAATACACAGGAGTGAACACACAGGGAGCATGTGTGCACACACACAGGTATACACACGCGTGTGTACACACACATATACAGAGTAGTACTCCCATGCCTCCTCCCCAGCATAGACACGTGTATGTGCACACCCACACACAGAGGCGTGTACACCCCCCTCACACACACATACAGCACCTAGAGTATATGTAAAAAAAGTATATTCAATACCAACTAAAAAGCTGTTTTACCCTCTGACTGCTCAAAATCTGACACACCTGCCTAGCGGGGCCCTCAGGGCGAACTCTCGCTGGCAGTGAGCCAAGCCCCCCCACAGAGGGACCTCAGGCTGGCGCTAGTGTCTGTGCCACAGCTGCCAACGTGGCCCTGCCCGCCCTCCTATGGTGGAGGAGGAAGCGCGCTTCCCACAGTCACAGCTTCATGCGCCACCTCTGCCTGGCAGACTTACTCGTGGCCTTTGCCCAAGGGTCCCCCCAGTGGTGCTAGGCTTACTCATACGAGTTGAGATTCCAGCCCTTCGGCTGTGCTGCAGCGGGAATTCTGACCTCTGGGACTAGCTTCTTTCTTTGGCCCCCAATCCTGCAATCAGATCTGCTAGCATGGACCACTGTGCCTGTGTACAGCCCTAGACCTGCTGCGCTGGCATAGAGGGTCACATTAGTGATTCTGCTTGTAGGGTCAAAGCCTTGGTTTGCCAGTGTCCAGCGCTGATGACCTGCAAGACATACAGCAACAAACACCCTGCTTGCCATGTAGTTGGAGAGGATAGATGGAGTGACAGCGAGAGAAAAGCATAGAGGAGGTACAAGGTACTAAAAGTTTGTTTTATGCCATGCAATTTCCCCCAAGATTAAGAACAGGGGGTTGGCACACTGTAAAAGCAAAATAAAGCAAACATATCATGGTGGCTTTCAATTAAAGAGAGACAGTCAATAAGACGTTGCAGTAATGTTTAAAATAATTTCTCTTACTCATGGGTGGCATGTATAAGAGTTTGGGGAGGCTAAGCTTCCCCAAAATTAAAAAGGCTGGCTATGCAGGGAGGGCACATGCTGGATGTGAGTGCCCCCCCTTTGGAGGCATGCTGTACTGGCCCCCCACCTTGGAGCAGGGACACCAGAGGCTCCCAAGAAGTGGGAGGCCAACCCCCTGCCCCCGTGGCCCTGTCACCACTTGGCCTCTTCCCCTGAGGCCCTGCCTGTCACTGGATCCTCTCCAGTCTCTCCCCTCCCCGGCATTGCTCACCCAAGGCAGGAAAAAAGTGGGAGGGCTTCGGGCTCTGGCCTGGGATCTTGCTGCAGGGCTTCCGGCGAGCTCTGGCCCCAGACCCACCCGCACCCTGCCATCACCCTTCGTACCTTCTGCCTCCTCCGGCCCCGGGCTTCAGCCGCATGGAGGTGGGCTGTCTCCAGTCTGCAGGGCCCCAGACCCATCATCCCCCCGCCCTTCTGACCATCACTCCTGGTGTCCCACTGCCTTCTCTGTCCCCGGGCTTTGGCCACACAGCAGTAGGCTGCAGTCTCCAGCAGCAGGACTTCGGGTTCAGACCCCGGGAGCTGGCTGCAGGGCTTTGGGCTCTAGCCCCTGGCCATGTAGTGGCGGGTGCCAGTCCTGGGCTCATCCCCCCACTGCCGCCCCCTTTGGTTGGGGCTGGTTCGTTAAGAAAAGTCATCTTCAAGGTGCAATATTTGCTTAGTATCACTTAGATACTTATTGCTGTTACATAAGACTTATCTGAACTGTGTAATGCACTAAGTAATCAAGGGGAAAAGTGTCTCTAGGGGGGAAAAAATACTAAGAACAAGGATAGTTACATTGTGGAGACCAGTTTTAAAAATGAATTAGTATTCTACATAGTGGCCTGGTACTGCTGCACGTAACTTGAAGGAGCATGTTTCTGAAATGTGAACTGGCTTCTATACAAGTAATGTCATACAAGACTTCCTGCATTATGCCTTAGCGTGGCAATAAGAAAATTGAACTATAACTAGATGTAATGCTTTCAAATTGGCCTGATTGGTTCTAGAACAGCAAACAAGAACTAAAAATAGCAAACCAAATTTAGCCCTATGGCAAATAAAAAAAAAAAAATTGTGCTTGTGACTGTCAGTGCTGGAGTTTGAGCGACTGGGAATGCTAGTGAATGGTGTTGTGAGTTAAGTTCCAATTACTTCGTCCTCCCGCCCCGCTCACCTCATGCAATTGCTTCTCATTAACAAAGCAGAATGAACAAATCAGAGGGTGTAGAGAGAGAGGCAAATTACACATGCTAATTTAAAACCTTTTGTTAAGCACTGACATTTAGTTTAAAAGTAAGGAACCTGTATGTACTGTAATTTCATTTACTGCCCCCAAAACAGCATTAGCACAAGGTTGCCCTTGCTTGGGAATGCCTAGTACCCGTCTAGAACACCAAATGTGCCTATACTTAAAGCGCTGAAAAAATTGGAAATACAGAGTGAAGTACACGCTGCCATGGTGACGCTTCTCACCCATCCAACCTACGAGGCTCAACATTGCTACCCACCTAAATGCTCCCCCTTCAACCCTCCTCCCGACACGGCCATGCTGTGTATCCCAAAGGGCAGCAGGTTCAGACTCTGTTTCACCAGTTGGCTGAATCAAGTTGAAGAGTTTAGGGCACATCACTGTTAATGTTCTGGCTTCCACACTCACCCACTTAAATCAGGCTACCAGTTTCAGTGCCTGGCCTGATGGTGACTCCTTTGGTACAGCACAAGACAGAAGTGGTCTCTCTCTATCACTGCTGTTCCTATTGAGTTACCATTTGCCAGTAGCTCATCACATGGCTGGAAGAATCCTCTCTCCAAACCTTTTGTCACAGTCCCAATCATATGTAAGCTGGAAACCATTCAAAAGCATCCATTAACCATAGACCGTCACCACATACAGCAGGTACATTTCCTGCTGGGATGTGACAGCTGTATGAGGTAAAACTGGTACTGTTAACATTAGAATTGAGCCCGTCGAAGGGCCTTGCTGACTCCAGGAGTTGTGCTGCCTTTGGCCATTCTGCATAGTGACTTTGCAGTAACAGCCTTGGATGGGAGTCTGTGGATGTTATGTTAGGAAACCTGATATTCAGAGTCAGGGTCAAACATGGCTGCGGATGGGTTAAGCAACCTGATTTTCTGTGAGGCTTTTGTCTTGCCTATATGCATGGGGTACCTCAATTCATTTCAGAGAGAATCCAGTTGCTGATAGGGTTGCTAGGTGTCTGGTTTTCCATGTTGAAACAGGAACCTGGTAGTGTCCAGTCAGCCTGGAAGTCCAGTTGCCTGCAGGAACCAGCCTCCGCTATTGGGGGTCAGGGGTGGGAAGAGCAGCAGCTGCTGGAGCCTGGAGGAGCACTCAGAAATGGCTCCGGTGGAGAGAGGTATCGGTGGCCTCCCCATCCTGCCCCCCAGTATGGCTCTCCCTGCCCTGTCCTGCCCCTCTCATCCCTCCATCCCCAGAGCACGGCTCACTCTGCCCTGCCCCAGTCACCCCTCCAGCCCTAGAGCCCTGCTAAATAATCGTCTAAATAATAACTCATTAGAGCTAGGCATTTATACCACATGCATTACTGTAGTTTTCAATGATACCAAGCATCAATGTGCAAACCAGCTAGCTTCAAACACGACTGCCAACTCTCTGGGAAGTCCTTGAGGCATGAGCACAGTGAAATCAGGTGCTCTATACAGTGCAAGGGCCTGGGTTCACTAAGCAGTTGTGACAAAGCAGCACTAACACATGCAGTTATGACATTTTTTTGGTTGGGTGTTTTCAGGCCTGTAGTTCATTTGCTTGTGTGTGTCTGTTAGGCTTTAAATGTCAACTAAATCTCTTCTTACGGGTTAGGCCCGTATAGCAACCTGTACCTTAAGAGCTTGGCTAATGTTATTTATTCACATTTTTAATCGGCAAACAATGTGCTTGGCGCTGTAAGAGACAAGGAAAGCGTGGAGCTTGTACAATAGTCATTGTGCTAGATGGAAAATTATACCACTGAGAAATGAATTACCGGGAGGTGAGCGTCAGGGCATATCAGACATGGCATATCATAAAAAAGGAGGTTAAACAAGTTATCAGGTTGCATAAGGAAAATAAACTCCATGTGCAAGCTGAGATGTCTCTTTCCTAATAGGTTAACCCATAATCTGACTTAGTGACAGCTAATACATAGGAGTTGATCTGAAGGAAGACAATATAATCTATTTCACTCTCAGAAAATGAGCCGCGTTCCTCTTGTAGCCTCATTTTCTCTGCGATAATATTTCTGCACTAAGGCTGCATTAATGAGGATTAGGGCTGTTCTTCTGATGAGTTTCTGGCAGTGATAGTAATTTGCTATTTAAGCATAACTCACAGCAATGAGTGTTTCTTCAAATTAACATTTTTACCCTTTTCCATTACTGAAGGAGAGAGGAGCAGCTCAGGCTAAAAATGCACAACAAGACGGCCATTATTACCTCAGCTTTCTGTTGGGCACAAATCACACACAGAGCAAAAAATGCATATGTAGCCACGGCCAGCTCCAGGCACCAACTTCTCAAGCAGGTGCTTGGGGCGGCCGCTCCGGAGAGGGGCAGCATGTCCAGGTATTCAGCGGCAATTCAGCGGACGGTACCTCACTCCGCCTGGGAGTGAAGGCCCTCCCGCCGAATTGCCGCCGCAGATCGCGCTTATGATCGCGGCTTTTTTTGTTTTGTTTTTTGGCTGCTTGGGGTGGCCAAAACCCTGGAGCCGGCCCTGTAGGTAGCCAGCTTTCTATATATGCTCACGCGCACACACTCTCTGGGATGATTTAGTTGGGGTTGGTCCTGCTTTGAGCAGGGGGTTGGACTAGATACCTCCTGAGGTCCCTTCCAACCCTGATATTTTATGATTCTATGATTCTCTCTCTTGCTCAGGTAAATGTAAAGTCCCTCTGAAGTATTTTCGATAACTGGACAAACACCCTCTGGCAAGATGATAGGCACCATCCATGCCTTTCTTTCAAGACACATATTCCAGTCAACCAGCAACGCTTCTATTTTGGGTAGACAATCTCATCAAATCCTCTATCCTGTGGAGTCAATGGGAAAGAAAATTTTCTGCCCATTCTGATATGCAGGGACCAAGGAAAGCTTAGAGTCATGTGATGTCAGCATTATCTCCCCAACAAGGGCAGGTTAAAGAGAGGACCATGCCTGGTGAGATTATTAGTAGCAGGAGATGCAGTTGAGCAAGTGCCTAACAGCGTGTTTTGTATTTACACTGGTTGTGATTATGGCCATAGATTTTTCTTGGCAAATCACTTAATCCTTCTGTGCCTCAGTTCCCCATCTGCAAAATGAGGGTAATACTTCCCTACCATGCAGAGGAGTTGGGAAGATAAATGCCTTTCACAACCACTGACACCCTGACAATGGGATGGCCTAGAATAAGGTGTTAAACTCATTCGCTGCAGAAACTGAATTCCATTTTTAGTATAGTTTACAGCAGGCCTGCACAACATGTGGCCCGCGTGGGCTCACTGTGTGGCCTGCGGGCAAGCAGCGGGAGGGGGCTGCCAGGTTTGCTCCCTGCCCGGGAGGGGCCCAACCTCACAGATCCGCGCACGCGCTCCAACCGCCCAAATGGACAGAAGTGCGGCACACACGCGCCGCGCTCGAAATGCCAGAAGCTCACGTGTCTCCATCTCCCGCTCCCCCCGCCTGGCGTACAACGGGTGCGTCACTTCCGGGGCCTGCTGAGGCGGGAAGCGCTGGGCACGAGGCAGAGCCGGTAAGTGCAAGCAAGGGGAGGGGCGCTCGGCCAGGGCTTG